GATTTCTATGGAAAAATGAAGGATTGGGGGGGCGGGGGAAGGAGGGATAAAGGCTTTGGAATGGGAAGAGAAGGAAAAGCGGCAGCTTTAGGGTTAGTCTTGCAAGCGAGCGGGAGCAGCCGGAGCTTGGGATGGTTGGGATGGATGGAGGGATGGACAACGGGAAGGGGAAGGATTTTGGCCCCACTTCGGCTGCAGCTCGCCCATTCCCACCCCCCCAGCGCTGGGAATTGCGCTTTGGGAGCACAAGGGGTGAACCCCCGCAATGAACCAGGGAATTCCCATCGAATTCCAGCTGTGGAGGGAGCATCCTGCTTTCTCCTTCCCGCCCTGGCAAATCCATGGGGGTTGACTACAGAGGGAAAAGTGGGATCGGAGGAAGAGCCGATGTCTGGCCCCCGCGCTCCTCCCGCTCCACTGGATTCACTGGGAATGCCACAAGGAGAAAGCAGCCCCGGGTTGGGATTGGGGCTGTTCAAGGTGGACAGTGGGATCCATGGACAAGGGGGATCCAAAGGAACACGGAAAGGATGGAGAGGAGAAGGTCCATAGAGACCTTAGTGCCTAAAGGGGCTGTGGGAGACCCGGAGAGGGGCTCTGGACACGGGATGCAGGGATGGGATGAGGAGGGACTGGAAGAGTTGGGCGGGATCTTGGGATGAAGCTCTTCACACGAGGGTGGTGGGACACTGGGAAGGGTGGAATGGAGAAGGTTGGGCTGCTCCATCAGCATCACGGCCACGTTGGAGCAACCTGCCCTACGGAAGGTGTCCCTGTAGGCCGGGTCTGGATGTTCTCCAGCTCCTTCCCAACCCCATTCCATGATTCCCAACATCTCCGGGGATCTGTGAGTTCCTTCAACTCCAACAAGGTCAAAGAAGGAGTTTGGAGCTTCCCACCACGGAGATGCTGCTGCTGCTGCTACCACCAATGAGCGTCACAGGGAGAGCTCCTGCTCTCATCCCATTCCCTCCTCCCACAGCTTAAGGACTTCCAAAAGAGGAGTTGAAGGATCAAATCCGGTGTCCAAGAGGTCCCCAAAGCCCTTCCCAACGCAGGTAAAGCTGGAGGAGACGCCCCCAACCACCACTGGACCCACCTTGACCTCCACATGGCCCCAACACGTCCACGGTGGGGCCCATCCACCGTCACCTCCAGAGCCACCCAACTAGTTGGAACCCACTCATGGAGGTGGAAAACCATAAGGAAAAGCCAATGCTGTGGGGTGGGAGCAACCCTGAGCTGCAGATGGAGGAGAACGGGGCTGAGGGACAACCCGCCGTGAGGTTCCTCCTTCCAAACACAAGGCTCTGGCCTCAAGCCCCGCTTCCAACCCCATCTGGTGGGAAGACACCACACCAAGGACCAAGATGCTGCCGGAGAACTTCTCCCACGTCCTTTGGTACAAAGCAAACCCCAACCTCGTCCTCCACGGAGCCACCACGAGGGAGCTTCTCCTTACCTGCTGCAGGAACATCTGCATGGAGTCCTGGTTGAGGACAGCTCCAGGAGCTGCTTGGCCCAGGATGATCTTCTCCGGGCTGGAAGCCAGAGTGGGGCTGGCTTGGGAAGTGACGGGCTGTTGGGCTGGAGGTGCTGGTGGGACACTGAGCTGCAGAGGAGCTGCTTGGGAGGTCTGGACGGTGAGGATGGACGCCGGCTCGGTGCTGGCCAGCAGGTTGGTGCCTGTGCTTGCTTGTGCTTGGCCAAGGCCGGGGCTTTGGCTGGTGGTGGCAGCAGAAGGTTGGATGCTCACCGCTTGCCCCATGCTCTCGGGGGCGTTGAGCATGGCCACTTGGTTGGGCAACGTCACCCCTTGGATCACGGGTTGGCTTTGGGTGCTCAAGCTGCCCGCCAAGGAGACGGGCATCTGGAAGAGCGCTGGTTGTCCCACCTGGCCAGCCTGGAGCTGGATGGGAGCCGAGAGGATGTGAGCGGTGCCGTGGGCGCTCTGCGACGTCAGGACCTGGCCCAGGTTCAGCTGGCTCGTGATGTTCTGGTTGGTGAGGAGCTGCGCCGGCAACGCTTGGTTGGTCAAGAGCTGCCCACCGGGCCCTTGGCTGGTGATGATGTGGGCTTGGCCACCCGGGTGGGACGTGGTCAAGATCTGGCCCCCCATGTTGGCCTGAAGAGCCGAGAGCTGCTGCGGGAGCTGCCCGGTGGAGGCACCGGCGAGTTGTCCCGGGGGGGTGGCAGGGGGTGTAGGAAAAAGAAAAAAAAAAGTAAGGGTATTTGTAGGTGGATGTTGAATAAAACCTTATGGGCTTGCTAAGGGCTTGTTGTTGGGGTGGGGGCTGCTTGAAGACGTTGGCTGGAAGGCCCTGGGGGAAGCCCGAGAGCACCACGTTCTGCCCGGGTTTGCTGGCCATGAAGGTGAGGTTCTGCTGGGCCTTCTGCTGCTGGAGGGCAGCTTCGTTCTGGATGGTCAAAGTGGTGTTGTTGGAACCAAAGGGCTTGGGGGTGATCTGGTAGAGCTTCTGCTGGAGGACACCAGCAGGTTTGGGTTGGATCGGGGTCGGCGTCCGATGGATGATGACGTTCTGGGCTTGCACCAAAGGGCTGCTCAGGTTGGAGGTGACAGTGAGAGGTTGGGAACCTTGAGGAGGGCAGCTTCGTTCTGGATGGTCAAAGTGGTGTTGTTGGAACCAAAGGGCTTGGGGGTGATCTGGTAGAGCTTCTGCTGGAGGACACCAGCAGGTTTGGGTTGGATCGGGGTCGGCGTCCGATGGATGATGACGTTCTGGGCTTGCACCAAAGGGCTGCTCAGGTTGGAGGTGACAGTGAGAGGTTGGGAACCTTGAGTCCCGGCCACGCTTCCGAACATGG